TTTCATTCTCATGGCCTTTATTGGGGGCCATTAGAAGGGCAAGGAAAAGCATCTTCCATTTATTAAGTGAGATTTTACCTCTTTTATTCACAAACAGCCCCTTACTAATGATATGAATACCCACATCCCCGTAATCACGTAGAGAAGCTGCTGGGACAGACTCAAGACTGTTTCCTGCATATGCTATCTTGAGTACTTGCTGCCAGGGAGTGAGGTTTTGGTAGCCTTCCTGTATTATAAAACACCTTAGGGGCCATAATGACTCACCCAAGTGCCCGAATACACCTCTGAACTCTCCTGAAGGTTTGGAGTAGGTGCTACTTGAATGGTTATTGATAACACAAGGTCTCATCATGGATTTAGAGTTGTTGGACAGCAAGGTTCGGAGAGGTTTCAGGAGGTCCCAATCCATCACCTGAACACCCTTCCTATGAAACATTTGTCCAGCCTGTTACTAAAACCTCTAACATTGGAAACCCCAAAATCCTTAGCCTGTTTTGGGGCTTCACTAACTCAGCCATTAGTAAATCTTTGTTTCTAGCTTCATTCTCCTTTTTTGCAGGCTAAAGCCACTGTTTACCCATCCACTACAGACAGAACATGCCTCAACCATCTAACATCTTGCTCTGAGGAAAAGAAAGCAGCTCAAGCATTGCAGGATAGCATGCTATAGTGGGAAAAGGTGATAGTAAATGACCAGAAAGCCCTGCCAAGCGAATTTTGAGATAATCTTTGATTTAGTCATAAAAAGTACATATTTACAAATGACTCCATAACTTCTGGTTCATAACTGAAAAGATTACAGTTTAGGTTTTCAAGGGCTGAATACCTGCAGATGCAGGCAATTGGCTCGGGGGTGACCAGTTTTCAGGCAGAAACTCAACAGCTACCCAGCCGTTAGAAGAACTGTCCAAACTGAAGAGAGCTGAAGAAGTCCCTTGCTTTTGTCATACAGCCAACATACAGCTGTGCAGCTGGGATTGCAGGTTACAGCCCACCCAACAGCCAGGAGCTGGGGCATCCTCTCGAGACATCTTCTCATTTGCTCAACTCAGCTTCTGGTGTGGAGGGTTGCAATAGCCTTGCTCAGATGCCACATATACTTCAGCAGCCTTGTAGGCTGCTAATTGCAGAATCCCAAAAACACTCAAGTGACTAAAAAATAAACTATTTTTATTTTAATTCTGTTCCCCAGAACCTTGTCACTTTGAGCTAGAAAGGGATTTAGAGTACAAAATAAAAAGTAAAAAAAAAAAGGAATAGGTGTTTCATCCTAAGCCTTACTACTCCAGAAATAATATTATTGGTCATGGCCTCCAGATTTAGGACATTACGTTTTCAAACAAGAGTGAATCTAAGATGTAAGTGTAAGCCTTGAATTTAGCCAAAATACATTAGAGAAGTAAGACTTGCCAAAAATATGTTAATGGCAACAGTAAGAGAATTTAGTTTGACCTGTGTTTTTTGAACTTCATTTTCATTAATAAAATATCATTTTGGAATATCAAACTGCTCAGAAACAGATAAACACTTGTGTTAAGCAAGTCTTAGAGAGTTACACCATATGAAGAATTATTATTTAGCACATTTGTTGAATAAGAAAAGATCAAAGCATTCATCCTTCATCAGGATTTTTGAATGTAACACACCCATCTATTTTTAAACTGATGAATTGCTCTAAAAACAAAGATCAGTCAGAAACAATAAACCAAAGGGGACTACAGACTACTTATAAATATTCAAAGTGAAGACATATGGCTTCTGGCATCGGTGGTCTGTGGTTATGCTGGAAGAGAGACACAAGAACTATAAGAGAATGGAAAGAAGGAATATTACCTAAAATGATATTGATTTAAACTGTGAATGTCCTGATATGCACCTTTATATATATAGACTACATATGGATATATGAAATTGTGAACTGTTAGCTGGCAAAAGCACACCTGCACACCTGATGGATATAAACAGCAATAAACAGAAGAGTCGCAAAGATGGCCCCATGTGTTTTAGGTAAGTTTAGGCAAGTCTGCTGCACAGAGAGCTCAGCTGACTGTTTCTAATCATGGTTCAGAACAGAAGACACAAAAGTTTAACCATTTGCCATTTTTACTCTTAATCAAATTCACTTTGCATTTCCATGTATGGCTGTATCAAGTTCACTGTTTCCACTTTCTCCAGTATCGGGTGCTTCCCTCAGGAATTCAACTGCTGAAATAGAGAGCATGTGCAATACTCTCTTTCATTTCCCAAAAAGGTTTCTAGATTTTTTTTTTCTTTTTCACAGAAATAACACTTGAAAACAGCAAGTGTATCCTGTCAGCTCAGAAACCAGAGTGGGAACCGACCTCTGTAGTTAACAGTCAGGAACATAACCCTCTAACCAGTCCCACAAAAACAAACACACAAAAGAAAACAGAAATAAAATTATCTCAGGAAATTTAAGCAGCAAAAAGTTATTCATCTCAGACAATTTTACAGTGACTTCAGTGATCCTTCTGATGGCCTGCTAAATGAACATGTTGAAAAGGATCCCACAAGCTCCAGTGTCAGTTATTGGGAAGGGAAGAACCAAATGACTTTTGGAGGAAAGGCCCATACCAGCCTTCAGTCAGGCTGGCCTGGGCTACCGGGAAACCAGCCCCATGCTCCTTCAACATCATTGGACTGAAACAGTGAGCAGTTCGTCTCCTCTCATTCGTCTTAGACACCAAACCTAGAGACAAGTCTAAATCTCACATAACTTGTGAGACAAGCCCCCTCTGGAGGTAACTGTTTCTTTCCATTGAATGTAATGGGAGACTTTGCTGCCTAGCTATCTAATTTGTAGACATCCAGTTTGGGTGAGATAAAAAACTGTGAGAATTGGGGCGAGAAACTCAGTTTTGGGCTCCTCACCACAGCTCTGTGAAAGGGATGAATGAATAACTCTGCAGAGCAATAGAAATGAAGCACACCAAATGTGAATACTGGGAATCTATTTGTATGTACTGTCCTGATCCAACATCGGGAGGGGTTTCGATATGATCCCGAGAGCAAGATTAAGACACAAATGAGGTCAAATGCCGTGTACCCAAGACAGATTTTTATTATCAAAAGTAGAAAAGAGAAGTTAGTAGCGACAGGATAGAATGGAATAAAAAGACAGAAGTTAAGCAAGCATTAGGGACAGAGTTGCAAGGATAGTCACCACCATGGATCCATGGTGTCCCGAGGGTCCAAGTCTTTTGATGTTTCAGTGGTGGGCGATTGCGCCGGGCTTGTCTTGGCAGTCCCTTTTATCCTCATTCCAGGGCTGCAATTTCCATGACAACGACACATACCTGTATATCTCCACATTCCTGCATATGCGCACACGTTTCACGCGACCCCAGGACCCCCAACCCCCTGCTCTTCACGCAACCGGTGCCTGACTTGGCAGGATGTCTTCAAGTGTTTTACAGTTCAGTCTCCCACTTGTAGCCGTTATCTCTGTGGCCTTGTAGCAGCCAGAGGATTCTTCGCTTAGACAAACAATCTTTGAGGCAAATGATTTACAGGTCAGTCTCTCACACCACCCTGTGGCTCAAAGACTGCTTCAGGACCCATGGTGGTTTTAAGAAAAGATAGTTATGTAGAGAAGGCCAGAAAAGAGCATTTCATAAAATCCACACTACTGACGGCATTGTCTGACGCACAGCGCGAATTTGCTTCACACCATCAGGTGAAACAGTGGGTACAACTTGCATATTAGTTACAACACGTTGAATTAACTGTATAAGACACGGAATGATACATGGTAAAAACAACAACATGGCAAATCCACATAGCAAATAAAATAGAATTCACTTAATCCATGGGCCGCCTGGGAGCCAGGAAAACAAGTCAATATCCCAGCCTTTCCATGACTGGACGGGAACATGGGCCAGTTTCCGTATTCCTGCAGTAATTTGTTTAACGATTTTACCGCTGTCATCAATTTTTAAGCAACAGTTGGAATCATTTAGTTTACCACAAACACCCCCTTCTTCGGCTAGCAGGTAATCGAGAACCATGCGATGTTGGAATATCGCTGTTCACATTTGTGTGGCCTGATCTGCTAATAGATCCAGGGCACGGGCTGTCTCGTTAGTAATAATCTCTAGAATGGCTTGCAACCAAATAATGCAGTTTAGGTTATAGATAGGTTCTCGAGCACCACTAGCCCACTCGTTGGAGTTCCAGGTGGCAGGTCCATAATGTTGTATAATACGTTGAGGGGTCCACTTGTCTTTGCCCCAAGTTTGACCACTTCCACCTGCTATAGAGGTATCAATAGACCGCCGATATCGATTGAGATCATCATACAACTTAACACCCAATCCGTCGCCTTCATCCTCCAGGAGTAAAAAGAACAAGGGGCGAACTAGCCCCACATAACACACCCCAGTCCAATTTTTAGGCAATTGTTTGTATGCATGATGTCCACAGATCCAATAATGACCTTTTAGTGCCCATGTGCCATTTTCAAACAAGCCTGTGGAAGTCCATGGTATTTGGAAATACGTTAGGACCCATGGTGGTTTTAAGAAAAGATAGTTATGTAGAGAAGGCCAGAAAAGAGCATTTCATAAAATCCACACTACTGACGGCATTGTCTGACGCACAGCGCGAATTTGCTTCACACCATCAGGTGAAACAGTGGGTACAACTTGCATATTAGTTACAACACGTTGAATTAACTGTATAAGACACGGAATGATACATGGTAAAAACAACAACATGGCAAATCCACATAGCAAATAAAATAGAATTCACTTAATCCATGGGCCGCCTGGGAGCCAGGAAAACAAGTCAATATCCCAGCCTTTCCATGACTGGACGGGAACATGGGCCAGTTTCCGTATTCCTGCAGTAATTTGTTTAACGATTTTACCGCTGTCATCAATTTTTAAGCAACAGTTGGAATCATTTAGTTTACCACAAACACCCCCTTCTTCGGCTAGCAGGTAATCGAGAACCATGCGATGTTGGAATATCGCTGTTCACATTTGTGTGGCCTGATCTGCTAATAGATCCAGGGCACGGGCTGTCTCGTTAGTAATAATCTCTAGAATGGCTTGCAACCAAATAATGCAGTTTAGGTTATAGATAGGTTCTCGAGCACCACTAGCCCACTCGTTGGAGTTCCAGGTGGCAGGTCCATAATGTTGTATAATACGTTGAGGGGTCCACTTGTCTTTGCCCCAAGTTTGACCACTTCCACCTGCTATAGAGGTATCAATAGACCGCCGATATCGATTGAGATCATCATACAACTTAACACCCAATCCGTCGCCTTCATCCTCCAGGAGTAAAAAGAACAAGGGGCGAACTAGCCCCACATAACACACCCCAGTCCAATTTTTAGGCAATTGTTTGTATGCAATGTGTCCACAGATCCAGTAATAATACTAATAATACTAATACTAATAATACTAATACTAATAATAATACTAACCTTTTAGTGTCCATGTGCCATTTTCAAACAAGCCTGTGGGGGTCCATGGTATTTGGAAATATGTTATATTCTGTACTCCCAGAGGATGAAATAACAGGGTTGACCTATTACGCCTATCCGTGATATTACAGGACCATGTCCCCTCTTTATTTTGCCATGCACAATTTACGCTGGCGTTTAGGGCTGGTCCATAGAATTTCGAAGAGTGGGTTGGGCCTGTTTTGTTGGAAAGCAACCAGAAGGTGCGAAACAATTTTTCTGTTCCGTTACTGTCTCGCCATGCCCATCTTGCATGTGTTATTACAGTTTCCGTAGGAGATACAATAATTCCCATATGTATAGGTCCAGTTACATTTGCTATTCCCTACAAAAACGCCACTTTCCTGCATTCGATTTAGGCAATATTCACCTTTGGTTGGGTATTGTATTGTCCAGGGCGATAGGAGATCCTCCTCCCAGTATGTATCGTTTCTGACTTCGCTGTAGTTGCTCACTAGCCATTTAGGAGAAAGGGGGACGGAGGTCCATGGCCATTTTTCTAGACCAAATGGCTCTCCACATACCTAACAGTTAGTGAGATTAAAGGCATTAGCCACTTGTTGACCTAAAACAATAAATTCATTTTGCCACAACGAGTCAGAGGGGGGGGAGCAGGAGCTTCCCATTATGCCAAGGACAATACCCATCATCCAAAACATCTTTTCAGATGTATTAGCAAGCAAACTATAAAAACCAATAATACCACCAATAAAAATATCAAACTGAAAATTAACAGCTTCTTTCACTTTGACTTAGAATGTTACAGATTTTTTTTTTCAGAATCTGTGTCTATACAAGAATTTTCTTTTCCATCAGGGTCCCCTCTTTTACCCCAACACCATTTATGATAGTATATTAAACACCCTATGAATGTTAATGAAGCAATCACCGACAGCACCACACAGACAATCAACAGCTTCATGTGTTTCTTCTGACTGGCTTTGGACTCTCCACCTGGAAAAGAAAGGAAAAGCAGACTTGGTTCATTTTAAGGAACCGGAGGCAGGTTATTGTTAGAAAGATGGAATAATCCACCTTGTGTTAATCTTATGTTCCTTTCCGTAAGCATCTTTTGCCTTCCAGGCATACTTATTCGCGGGGGTTTTCAGTACCAAGGGTACAGGTCCCACAGTGGGGAGTTCAACCAAAACTGGTTGGCCTGGAAAATGCAACAGATTTTTAGGATGATCAGGGCCGTATGGGGCTGGTGTAATAGTTGGGGCCTTTGGACAAAATGTGGTTTAGAAAATTTAACCCCACAGTTAGTGGCATCTCTCGTTTTAATAGCTGAAATTTGAACCCCAGTATCTACCAAAAATGTGACCGGGACTTGTTTCGGCCCCACGATGCCGGTAATTAGTAAATCACCCCGGCTGTTTTCAGTGAGCTGTCTAATATACATTCCATCGGAGGGCGAAGGATCTAGTTTCCCGCCAAGTTTCAGGGGACATTTGTCTCTAACAAGTCAATTAAAGAGGGTGCACAGGGGGTGGTATTTTTGGAACCCACCTCTTTGTCTGTCAGCTTATCAGGCCATCCAGACACCATTTTTTCTAACTTGTCTGTTGGCAACCCGTCCATTAAATCCCGCGGGATCCCCTTTTGCCATCCCTTTGTGCACAGGCTATTGCACTTATTTGGAATGTCCCTCCCTCCAGGTGATAAATCCCGCGGATCCCCTTTTGCCATCCCTTTGTGCACAGGCTATTGCACTTATTTGGAATGTCCCTCCCTCCAGGTGATTTAACAAGAGATGTTATTCTATCACCTCCAGGGCACGGAACCATTTTTACTTCAGCTCGCCTCAGGCCCCTGGAGTCTGCTTTAGTGGCTGGAAGGTTGACGGTGCCGTACTTGCGCCCGTAATTAATCAATTCTTGGGCTACCTCCCCCCAAGTCCACATCTTCCTATTCGGGGGCAAGCGGTGCCGATTGGGCGTAAGTCCTTCTAAAGCAGCCGCAACTCTCTTGCCTTGAGGCATTGCCTGTATTTTCCCTGTAATTGTATATCAATCAGCTTCAGGGAACCGGGGAGTCCCCTTATAAGGGGAGTCATTCGTTTGGGGTCTACCGGCATCATCATCGGGGACTCCTGCCTAGGCTCCAACTTTCGATCATACATCATCTGCAAACAAGCTCTTTCTGCACACTTTCCACCAATTGATCAACAGTCCTTGTAATTGCGAGGGGATCCCCCCCTCCAAGGGGTTCAAGCCCCCCACCCAATAGGCTGCCCACTGGGTTAATGACCAAGGGGCACGATAATTTCCAGTAGTTAAAAATACTCCCGGTCCCCAATACCCCTCCGCCTCCTTTTCACTCAAGAAAATCTGATCCCCTCCAGATAACGATATTCTCCACACATACTCCGTCTCCTACTCCCTAGGAGTTCAGCCAAAATCCTTTTTTAACTTTGTCAACTCGGTGGCGGTATAGGGGACCTTCTTGGTTGCGACTTGTGGGAACTGATCCTGATCATCATCATAAACACACTCGGTCTTAACCAAGGGTCGCAACGAGGGCAGGTCTAATTTCTCTACTCTTTCTCTTGCTGCCTGTAAGTTGCCAAACGGGTAACCAGTTTCTGACTTCGAGGATATTTCCTCATGGGCATTGCCTGCAAGGAGTTGCTCCTTAAGAGCAGTCTGCAGATGTCTCACCTGGCCTCTCTTTTTTTCAAGCTGTTCCTTTAATTCCACCACTTGGCCCCTGCAAGGACCGAACAAGGCTTTGAAGGGATTCACCAATTTGGGATTCCTCAATGCGACAGTGTTCCCTAGCGTCTACAGCAGCGGCCAAACTGGCACCGAGAACAGCACAAACAATCGATTTTCCCCTTCCTGATCTTATTCTCATATCCTTTTGCAAAGCATTCGTTCGATCAACCACACTCTGCAAACTATACCAATTTTCCCGAGCCCAGTCTACGCCGGGCACAGAGGGTCGTGCATTATGTTTTTCCAAGAATTCAACCAAAACTTCTCTCCCCAAAGGGGCACTTTTAGTATCATTCATCTTATATAAAGCGGGGAAGCAGTCGTCTCAGGAAGGCAGCACATAAGTTTCAAACACAAATCCGCACCCCTTACTTTCCTGAGAGGTCTCACGTATTTGGGAAACAGTGCAGCACTCTCGTCTCAAGGGATCCTGTCCGTGATGCCAATTAATGTCCCAATCCAATGTTGGGAGAGGTTTCGATATGATCCCGAGAGCAAGATTAAGACACAAATGAGGTCAAATGCCGTGTACCCAAGACAGATTTTTATTATCAAAAGTAGAAAAGAGAAGTTAGTAGCGACAGGATAGAATGGAATAAAAAGACAGAAGTTAAGCAAGCATTAGGGACAGAGTTGCAAGGATAGTCACCACCATGGATCCATGGTGTCCCGAGGGTCCAAGTCTTTTGATGTTTCAGTGGTGGGCGATTGCGCCGGGCTTGTCTTGGCAGTCCCTTTTATCCTCATTCCAGGGCTGCAATTTCCATGACAACGACACATACCTGTATATCTCCACATTCCTGCATATGCGCACACGTTTCACGCGACCCCAGGACCCCAGCCCCGCTCTTCACGCAACCGGTGCCTGACTTGGCAGGATGTCTTCAAGTGTTTTACAGTTCAGTCTCCCACTTGTAGCCGTTATCTCTGTGGCCTTGTAGCAGCCAGAGGATTCTTCGCTTAGACAAACAATCTTTGAGGCAAATGATTTACAGGTCAGTCTCTCACATGTACGTAAGAGGGAGAGAGAGAAAAAGATTTTGAAGAAATAACGCTGCCTTGAACATCTCTGTTTCTTTTAAAGACATTTTCACTGTTGCTACTTACATCCCAGTCCCCAGACCAAAGTGGGATAGGAACTTGCTGACTTACTGCAAGGTTTTGTTGCTTGTTACCTGACCACTGCTAGAGCCATCATTGCTGTTTTGATGCAGCTTCCTTTGTTGCTTTTTAAAATCAGAAGTTTCTCCAAGATATTTAAGGATTTCCCTGTTTGGTAGAATGAAAGTGAAAGAAAGAAGATGCTGAATAATATAAAATAAGTGACTTTGTGGTTGCCTTTTGGGTCCATTTCTCAACTGGTCTTAGCGTTTGCTTCTAGCACTGAATATAACAAAATGTTCTTAGAAACCAAGGATGGGAAAATCAGGGTCAGAAACTTTGCAAAGGTGGTATGCAGCCATATTGTATTGGAAAGACATCAGGACCCATCAGCAGGGCCAGCATCTGGGCTGGGATCTAAAAGCCCAGTCTCCTACAAGAGGCAGCAGTTCGAGCCCTGTCTCCTAAGGGGTTTGAACCTCTCATCAATGGCATGTTGTCTGGCTGAGAAGCAGTGCCTCTGGCTCCCGTCAACTTCCTACCAGCATGCTTAAACTCTAATTTGGGCAGGAAGAATACTGACTGGCACAACACCCTTGAAAGGGTGTCAGTGCCTGATTTCAGTCCATCTTCTGCCAAGGTCAAATTCTTCTCAATTTCCAAACTAATTTCATTCAGTTTTATCCCCTGTGGTTGAGAAGAGTTTCCCATGGACACCTTTGGAACTGCTTCATCATTCTCTGTATCGACATAAGTCTTAATGAAAGTTAAGCAATGAGATGCTAAAATTACAGTATCACAAGGTTTGGTTCTTGAACTTGCCCTGTATGAAGATGCAAAGCGTCCCCTCTTTGGTGACCCTGGCTGGAGTGCTGAACGAAGGCAAGTCTATTTGTGCTCAGCCAGGTGGGACTGCTGCTACCACTAAGGGAAAGTGTCCTGCCAGCAGTCCTGGCTTGAGTAGATTTGCATAGTGGGTGCAAAGTAACCCTGATATGCACTTTTCTAGACAGACAGTTTATCAAACACAGTAAGAATAGTCTTTTACATAGGTATTCTATGAAATTAAGTATGTCTGGTTTTTCACACAGACATTTCACACCTGCTCAATTTGCATTTGGTGTTTTTTCTCCTTTCACTTGTATTTGCATGTTGTTGGTTTTTTTTAATTACACTGCTGTTTGTTTCCCTTTTTTATTAAATACAGTGTCCTCTTATATTCTACTGGATGCCTCTCCCCTGACTCTTTGTCTGAGCTTTCGTCCTTGCCCCCACTATGAATCTGCTCTGCCAAGTTTTCAGCTGACATAACATTGCTCATATCCAGGAAGTTACTGGGCTCCTACTGCTTTCCCACTCCTGGTTAACTATGGATTAAACATACAGAATCTCTTCAGCTGCCTGCAAGTTCTCACTGTTCTGCTAACTGGGACCGCATTTTTCAGAAGTGGCAATTTGGGAGCATGCTCCTGGGAGAGAGAGGTTACTGGTACACGTCAGTCCTCTTGATCATTGCTTGCTTGCCAGTCCATATGGAAAAAACCCGGGTCTCATTATCTCCGTGCATAAAAGAAACACAGTCATTTAAAACAATATCCAAAATAAATGGCAATAGTCATTTGTGGAACTATCTGAAAACATGCTAAAGCAATTCAGATGCTATAAATCCTCCAGTATCATCTGTGGCTATAAACAAGGCTGGCTACAGGCAGGAGAGGAAAAAAAAAAAAAAAAAAAGGCACCAAAAAAAAGATTAATAAATCCTCCAGTATCATCTGTGGCTATAAACAAGGCTGGCTACAGGCAGTAGAGATACAAAACACAGAAAGAGAGCCACAGTAAGAGAGCCACAGCTAAAGCACTACTCCTCAGAGTAATTGAGATCTAGTATAACTGTTTGATTCTTTGTCTTTTACTCTCCGTTAGCCTCCCAGGTTTCTTCGGAAAGCTGATCCTAAAGTGGTATCACACGCCAGAATGTCTCCATCCTCCATCTTGGGGAACTGTCTACACCCCCCCAAATATTTCTGTTGAAGAACTGAGTGAGTAACTTGTCGTCTTCAAAAACGCCACTAACAGAGTCTTTGTTCATCTCATTGATGCTCCATATGTGGAGACAAGAGGAATCGGGAAAGGTGCCTGGACTTGTCTCATACATCTGGTAAGTGGATCAGTTCTCCAACACTCTGCCTGGAGGACATGTGTCAATATGTTGTTCAGTGCTTGTTGCTACTTTTCTTACATGTTCTTCCTCAGTTGTTGCAATGAGTAGCTGCTGTTCTGACATAGACATTAGTCACAATATTCAGAGATTAGTTATGCAATACCACCGATCCCTGATGCCAAAGTCTGGGGTGGCATTATCTTCTGGAACTTCCACTGTTATCAGCACATCTTGTGCAATAACTCCTAGAAATTGTGTTGAGACCACAGAGGCAAATAAGGGTGGAGAGACTTACTGTCAAAGTGCCCTCCAAGTAGCTCTGACTGCGTGCAAAGGCTTGAACGACAGTGATGTTCCCAAGCCTTCAGGACTGCCTAGTGCCTGACTCCTGAGGGATTATGAGCTTAGTTCAATCTTCTCTTTCATTCTTCATTTAGTCAAGAACTAAATGCACAGTAACACCTGAATATAGCCTTCCCCCCCCCCCCAGATGGATATAGCTTTCCATTCCAATGAAAATTAGCATTTCTCCTTCCATTTAAAAAGAAAGACAATATCCTGTTTAGTCAATGGTAGGTTGTTTGTGGCTACCTGATACCTGGAACATGTAGTTCAGGACTGACTTGGCACAAAGGTAATAAGCTGCATGCAAAACGTTTCATACAAACAAAAGAATAAAAAAGCAACACCTTGTTGGATTTATTATTTATTCAGAAATCCTACTTTTGGAGCTTGTGCTGAATCTCAGTTTTGGTTTTGTTTTTTTTGTTTTGGGTTTTTTTAAACACATAGATTCTGGTCTTCATAATGAATGAAAACTTGCAGATATGGATGCTTATGATTCAAAAACCAATAGATGGACATAAAGAATCCAGAACTTCCTTTTTCTTTATGATTTAGGCCTTTACACCTCTCAGGCTTTTTAGGAAGCTGCCTCATAAATTGGTCACTCATTCATCATATGGGGGTTACTTCTGTGTTAGGCAGAACAGAGGCTACGGGAATCTGCTGCAGGGAAATCTGTGTCTTCTCAAACTCTCCTGCTAGCTGTGGTCCCTTCACAGGATGCACAGTACATCTGCAGGTGGAACTGCAAAATAGCCTTGCTGGTACAGATTTGCTGAGCTGGCTTTCCAGGTGTAAGAATGCTATCTAGTGGTTAAAAACTTGAATTTAGCCCTTTATATTGGAAAATATATGCAATATATGACTCTTTAGCAATGCAGAGCAGAAGAGAAAAATGAAGAATTTGGGACTTCGTATTTGAATGAGCAGGTGAAACACTTGTTAGGCTGGAAAGCCTAACTGAATTTTCATTAAGTTCTCTCTGTGTACCATCAAAGAGTCTTTAAGGTTAAAGTATCATCATATCAAGGCAGGTACTGAACATTTCTCAGATGAAACACATTCTCATATCCGATTACTAAGCCCATAAATCAAATCTTTTTAGAGAAATTGTTAACAGCAATGTTCGTTGAGCTGTTCCTATTGAAAATAACATGCTTTGTTTTTTCATGGGGTTTACTGAAGTTTAACAAGATCTGTTTCTCTTAATCACTTACTACCTTTTTCTGCTTTTCCCTTTGAATCTTCTTTTGTCTCATAACTTTATATTAATTCAAAGCCATAATTTTCATTGGCAGCTTACTGCATGCTCAAATTAGTGAACACAAGATTTATTTACCAAAGAAAGAAAAATCCTTAGTGCAAAGAGCACCTTTGATATTGTTTTGGCAAAAATAAAATCACAAGACCAGGCTAAACCCAACATATAATATAAGTAGAGGCCATCTTGCCTGGATTATAATTAATTTTGAATTCTTCCTGTTGCCATGACACCATGCACGAAAAGAAATAAGCCACACGTTGTGCAGCACTCAAGAGCTTGTTGGAATTTGGGGTTTGTTTCTTATCTTTAAAATAGCAAGAAAATTCCATTTCAGTGAAACAAAAGTCAGCACTAACACCAGAGAGTTTTTCCTGGTGTTTCCTGTTCCTGTTCACCTCTCCTGGAGTGGGAGAGGGATGGATGC